TTTAACATAGTTTCCTGTCAATACTCATTATATGTTTAGAATCAAATTACTGATATGCGATATGAGTGAAACCACACAACTCTGCTACAATGATGGTGGTCTTCAACAATACAACAAAATGTAACATTCAGTAGCCTCCACAGACCACGATATGTGAGTCATGGAAGCCATGTGATTAAACCGTTAACATCTGCCTCAGCACTAATGCATTACAACAAAATGTAACATTCAGTAGCCTCCATAGACCGCGATATGTGAGTCATGGAAGCCATGTGATTAAACCATTAACATCGGCCTCAACACTAATGCATTACAACAAAATGTAACATTCAGTAGCCTCCACAGACCGCGATATGTGAGTCATGGAAGCCATGTGATTAAACCGTTAACATCGGCCTAAGCACTAATGCATTACAACAAAATGTAACATCAGTAGCCTCCACAGACCGCGATATGTGAGTCATGGAAGCCATGTGATTAAACCGTTAACATCGGCCTCAGCACTAATGCATTACAACAAAATGTAACATTCAGTAGCCTCCACAGACCGCGATATGTGAGTCATGGAAGCCATGTGATTAAACCGTTAACATCGGCCTCGGCACTAATGCATTACAACAAAATGTAACATTCAGTAGCCTCCACAGACCGCGATATGTGAGTCATGGAAGCCATGTGATTAAACCGTTAACATCGGTCTCGGCACTAATGCATTACAACAAAATGACACATTCAGTAGCCTCCACAGACCACGATATGTGAGTCATGGAAGCCATGTGATTAAACCGTTAACATCGGCCTCAACACTAATGCATTACAACAAAATGTAACATTCAGTAGCCTCCACAGACCGCGATATGTGAGTCATGGAAGCCATGTGATTAAACCGTTAACATCGGCCTCAGTACTAATGCATTACAACAAAATGTAACATTCAGTAGCCTCCACAGACCGCGATATGTGAGTCATGGAAGCCATGTGATTAAACCGTTAACATCGGCCTCAGTACTAATGCATTACAACAAAATGTAACATTCAGTAGCCTCCACAGACCGCGATATGTGAGTCATGGAAGCCATGTGATTAAACCGTTAACATCGGCTTGAGTACTAATGCATTACAACAAAATGTAACATTCAGTAGCCTCCACAGACCGCGATATGTGAGTCATAAAAGCCATGTGATTAAACCGTTAACATCGGCCTCAGCACTAATGCATTAGTTTTAACGTCGACTAGCGTAATCCCTAATTAAAACCGCAATTCATATTTAATTCACGAGGATTTTTTATCTCCAGCTACGATAACATTTTTAGAAAATTTAATTGTTTAATACATTTTAACTCTAATTGATAACATAAAATAGCGTACTGAAATGTCATTTCTAAGTATAATAGTAATAGAACATAAAATCAAACTACAGGGTCTTCAAAATTTAGAGCATAAAATGGCACATGTTTAAATCTGTTCTTTCATTTGGAAACACCAGGTATATAATAATTGTATAGCGTACGTTTTTTTTTTTTACTGCTTTAATATACTTACCACAAAAATTGAATGTTATAGAACAGTTTTACACCTAAAACAATGGCGTAAAATATTTGAAAACAATATTATTTTACCATTTTATTTTTTATACTATCGCAATGCTTTGCCCAGCTCGTAAGGTGCCACAATAACCTTCTCTTTGTGATAAAACCATTTACAAACTTTATACCCAGTTTTGATGATTATACTTTAATAAAACTAGGTAATGTTTCAAAGCATTTTTCTTTGTGCTATGATTTAAGTTCAGCTGTTTTTAAATACACAAAATTTGTACTTTTTCAAATCTTATCTTAAGAAATACTAGCTTTTACCCACGGGTTTCACCCCGTTTGACTTCATAAGTATTAGTAAAAATATTGATTGATTGATTAAATTAAGCTGAAATAAATAAAACAGAATACAGTAATACAAACAAATAATCACACCTGATTTTAATAAGGTAATACCATAGATAAAATATACGGTTAGTCTATGGTAATACATTGAAAGAATAACAAAAAAATACAGCTGAGTTATTTTTAATATTAGGTACTGTAAATGGAAAGTTACCTTTAGAAAGGAATTACGACCTTAAACATTTATTTATGAAATAATGGATAGTTTAGCACAAGGTTTCTCGTCATGACGAACATGTTAAGTATATGGTTTATGGGGGTGTGACTTTTAGTTTTCTCAAAAGTGCTTGGGTACTTTGGGATTTATATAGATAATGACATTGCAGATCGCACGTTTAAAATAAGCATACAACAGTAGGTAAATATAAGTTATTTACTAATTCAAATTTATTTTTTAAGGCTTCTGTTACATTTTATTTTGCTTGAAGTAGGTTTTTACTTATATAATATTTATGATTACTACTTATTTATCACAAATTCTTTTTTAATCTCACTTACTGCAAGAAAAACATACCAAACTAAACTAATAACTCCTTCGTTATTAGGACATACAAATGGCCGCTGGCAATAGCAGAAGGCGCATTAACATTCTTGGCAGAGCTTGAGCAAGTTCACAATAGAGAAGTGTAACTCAAGGCGGCTCTTATCAGATCAGACAAGTTTTGACTTACGTCAATCCAAAGTTTTTCTATACAAACTGGAACGTTAGCCAACTATAACAGAGACGGGAAAGTCTTAAGGCAAAATCATCTATAGATAACTTTGGGTGGTTTAAACAAGGCCACACTAAAAAAAACAGGCCGTAATGCTCGTCTAGCATGACGTCAGGATAGAAGACGGCAATGACGTAATGTTTACCGTTTGTGATCAGCTGCTTGTTTTAATCTTTTCATGGAAAACAAAAAAAAACCTTAATTACGTCATTGCCGTCTTCTATCGTGACGTCATGATTGACGAGCATTACAGCCTGTTGTTTAAATTAGGAAAAAATTTAACTCCGAGCATAAGTAAAAGCATAATGTATGGTAATTAAAATGTTTGATTTGTGGTAAAAAGTGAAACTGTAATAATGAAAAATCAAATATCTCAAAATATCTACGTATTTTTTGCATTTTTAAAAGATTGAAGTCCTTCCGTTCTTTTGCAAGCAAAAAATACTAACAAAAACATTGAACTGTTGGCAATACCAACTGTTTTATGGCACAGTCTAGTAAAATAATTAAGTTAAGAAAACTTTCTATATTCTTAATTTTACCGCAAGTCTATTAACTGCAAAGCTCTGACGATTGTCATGATTGTTTTGTCAAACATCGAAAATGAAAAATTACAAAGTGATAAAGCACAACTGATAAGTACTTCTCTATTGATCTTTTAAAATGTTTTAGAATAGTGGTTTCCTTTATGGATTTATAAATATTTAAGCTGACCAATATTACGCTGCAAACCTCTAATTGGAGAAAAGTTATGGCATAAAAGATAATCGCAATGTCCGTAATACCATTCCAATAAATGCAAGGTTTGAATCGCCGTTCCAATTAGGGCCGAGTTTTCATTCCAGCGGCAGCTTTGAATCGATTTATTGAAGCCTATTGAAATCAGATATAATAGAACGTTATAGGTAGAACAATCGAACGGACAAGAGATTATCTGGATGCCTATATAATTTAGGTATAATAACTTGAATTTAAATTTAAATTTTTGGTACATTTTTGAAAAGTGATGATTTTACTAACGTATAGGTATGTGATAATGAGGTATGATTTGTTTTAGTACGTAGTATGTTTTTCGTACGTCTATTCAACTAGATTAATCTAACATACATCAAAAGTCATAGAAAATAGAAAATAGTAAACAGAAAAAAAATAGAAAATAGAAAATAGAAAACAGAAAATAGAAAATTGAAAATAAGGATGCTCCATTATAACGGGTCAATTGAAATACTCTGCATATTTACTGCAAAATCTATTTCAGTGAAATGCAAGTTTATTTATAGTCGCTGGATTAATGATGAATTTTGCAACAATTTAGGCTCATTTAACGTATGAATTCATGAGTAACGAATGTAATCAACTCTGTCTTCGTTTGAACCTTTCGCCAACGCAATGACGACAGAATTACTAAATAAAGTACGTTAAAACAGTTTTTATGCTAAAAAGATTAACTTAAAATCATTGCTACTATTACAACATCAAGAACTATACCATTAACTTACTGGCTATGATATAATTGTTTATCCTGGACTAACTTGAAACATTTGTTAACTATTATTAATAGAGTGTTAGTTGCATCTAAAGTTTAAAAACTATTTGTTTTCTGCTTACGTTTTATATAAACTTATTTTTTAAACCACACCTTTGCTGTTAACATAAATTTCATAAACATAATCGCTACACATTGCTTTATTAAAATCGATTGGATGAATGGAACAGGTTTCTATGTTATTCATCCAATTAGTTAGCTTAGTTAATTACAATCTCCGGGGAAGAGAAACAGGTGCTGCAAAGAAACTAATTTAGTCTTCAGGAAATAATTAAATGACATTGTTTTGACATGAGATAAATACTTCCTCTTTTATTGTGACTCCGATCAAAAATAAAATTACTTGCTAACGTGTTTTTCACATATCAAAGAAAGTGTACAAATTTTTCATCTAAAATATATATTACATTTATTACATATTACATTTAATTATATTTTTCTATTTATTGTAACATTTTAATATGTCTAACAAGCGGGAAAAAGCGCCTGTTTAGTTTTCAAGTCAGTGTCTAAGCTTCAAATCTTGTGATCAGAGTCCAAGTCACGCTTGTTTAAAGATGTTGATTGAATTGTGACACGGAGCCATTTACAGCTTACTTCTCTACGAATTACATGTGGTGATGTGAACATTATCACCTGATAATATTTATTATTTGATTTGTTTGTAAATATTGTATTTGTTCTTAACTAAAACATGGTTGTAATTTTGAATGAATAAAAGCCATACTTTTGGTTTACTAAGTCTTTCTTACAACAATTTTATTCATTCATTGATAAACTCAGTTAGTGCTACATTACGATGGAGAAATTCCTTAGACCAGACGAATTGCAAATTGACCCGGAATCTCCAACTGCCTCAGAGGAATGGACGCACTGGTTACAAACATTCGAAGACTTTCTAACCATGACAGAATTCGTTGAAGACAAGGACAAACTGAAACTACTAACTAATCGATTATCTTTTACTACTTATAAATTTATCAAGGAATCTGAAACTTACCAAGACGCTTTGAGAGTTCTTAACTCAATTTACATCAAACAAAAGAATGAAATATTCTCAAGATATTTAGTAATGACTAGAAAACAGCAACAAGGTGAGACTATTGACAAATATGTGTCGGAACTGAAACTTTTGAGCCAAGATTGCGTTTTTGAAGCTGTTAATGCGATTCAATACAGGGATCATTACATTCGTGATGCTTTTATCAATGGCTTAGCCTCGTCATACATACGACAGAGACTATTTGAAAATAAAACTTTAGACCTAGCTGAAGCAGTGGAACAGTCTAGAGCTTTTGAAATGGCTCAAGCTCAAGTCGAGAGCTATCCAAAATCTATGTACGGAATGCAAACTTGTGCAACGAATGAATTGGCAAAGCGAGCTTGTCAGTACGAATTCCCACTACAACAAAAGGAAGAAGCTACTGTTTCCGCTATTAAAAATGTTGATGGCAAGTGTTATTTTTGTGGGCATGATAGACACTCTAGAGATTGCTGTCCAGCCAGAGAAGCAACTTGTGGGAAATGTAACAAGACAGGGCATTATGCGAGAGTCTGTAAAGTAATCCAACTCAACATTTTAAAGTAAAACAGAAGACGTCTAGTACATCAGCTGCACTAATAGCAACTACACATAATACATCTGTATTGAAGGACTCTACAGTTGAAGCTAAAGTGAATGGCCTGAAAGCAAATTGCTTAATAGACACCGGGAGTACATCAAGCTTTGTAAACTTGAAGTTTGTTCAGTTAAACAAAATTAAAATGTATAATGAAAGTGGACAAGTATCACTAGCTGCTTCTAATATGAAATCAAACGTCCACGGGTTTGTTAAAATCAACCTAAATCTGTTGAATCACAATTACAACAATTTTAAGTTGACTGTTCTTGAAGATCTTTGTACTGACGTGCTTATCGGACATGATATCACGAAACTCCACTCAAATATACAGGGTTGGTTTGGAGGTAAGAAACCTCCTCTGTTGGTGTGCTCCTGTGCCAAAGTTGAACCACCCAAACTATTCTGCAATTTAACTCCAGATTGTAAGCCAATAGCCACAAAATCGCGACGTTACTCAGATGAAGATGTGCAATTTATAAAACAAGAAATGGAAAGACTACAGACTGAGGAGATCATTGAACCTAGTTCGTCACCTTGGCGTGCACAAGTGTTGGTTGTTACAAACGACAAAGGGAAGAAGCGACTGTGTGTGGACTATTCGCAAACGATAAACAAATTTACTCTGTTAGACGCCTATCCCTTACCAAACATAGATGATCTAGTATCCACTGTAGCGACGAACAAGGTTTTTAGTGCCATTGATCTAAAGCAAGCATACTATCAAATACCAATTTCTGACGAAGAGAAGAAGTACACTGCTTTTGAGGCTACTGGTCGTCTTTTTCAATTCAGAAGAATCCCATTTGGCGTAACCAACGGGGTGGCATGTTTTCAAAAGACCATGGACCAAATCATTAGAAAAGAAAAACTGAATGGAGTGTATGCCTATCTGGATGATTTGACCGTATGTGGAAAGGATCAAAAGGATCATGATGAGAATCTAAGAACATTTTTAGATGCTACATTAGCATTCTACAATGTCACACTTCCGAAAGATTATAGTATTTCAAGATGTAGATCCAGTACAACTACAATTTAGTTAATCATACGATTAAATATTATGATGTATCGGTTATTTTTATAATTTGACGAAAAAACATATCTTTTTCTGCAATTATTATTTGCCAAGAATTCAGCATGCAAAAACCTTTAGAAGACTATGTGTTTCACCATGGGTTGAACTTAAATCTTATATAAAGGTGTGATTTTTAAAGTACATTACTTTCGTAATATTAAATACACTGAACATGAAATAAAATTGCATGTTTGAAATGAGGACTCATTACCTACTTACATGTCGGGAATACTATTGGTTTAAAATGCAATCGGTAATTTGTAAAAATTACGAAAACAAAGTTAATGACAAAGTTATTAACAAAGTTTAATGTTTAACACATTCAACTTTGTTCGTATTTTTTACAATTTACCAACATGGAAAAAGATCCTGAACTATTATCACTTATAATTTTAGGTAATATACGAAGGAGGTATCTACAAATGTAGGGGAAAGATTCCTGTTGAACGTTTGCCAAGTGACCTTTAGAGCTCTTGACGGATCATTCCAAGTAGGAAACATTAGGGAAAATATCGTTATATTGAAATCACAAAACGTAGAAGAGATGCTCCAATCATAAGTCCTTACACACATATGTTATTGGAACAATGTTATGGTGTAAATATCCTATAAGCGAAGTAACCAAATCCAAGGACTAGTCTTATTTAACTAGTTAAATTCCAGAGAAATTGTAAATAGACAAATCCTTGCCATAATATATTTTAGTTCAAACTAATTACAGTAGTCCATGCATGCATGTTCTCAGTATTCTAAAGTAAAATAATAAATTCCTTCTATGGAATAGCATATAAATAGTTCAGTTTACTACTCATTGTAGTCTTTGTAAAAAAAAAAAAATTACTTTTAAAAGAACTAGACATTCTATGAGTTGTAGAAGGTTTATTTATCAAAATGATCGTAGTTTAATAGAAACACCTACGTAGTGCAGTGATGTAAATAACTATTTTCTGTGCAGCTGTTAGCCCTAGCTTTACTGTCAGGATGACTCATATTAAACTTAAACCATAGAAAAGTAATAGAAATACAGGATGAAATTAAATTTTTGGCTGTACGCACTCCGTGAGGTTCTCTTTCAACTAATTTTTCACTGGCTACAGCTGGTCTATACAGGGTGTCTCGTATGTAAGAGCATAAATGTTTCCCCGGGAAATTGTTTTCTGGGTCAAAATAAAGATAAAATCAAGAATAAATTTTTTTTCAAAATTACTTTGTTAACGACGAAGGCAAAATGAAATTAAATTGCAGATATGCGCCATTTCATTTTTTTCACATTAATATTTAATATTTAGAATTTTTAACCAATAATTATGAAATTTTTTATGTATGCTGAATAAAACAGTATTAGGAAAAAGATTTATCTTAATCCAATGAAAAAGTTCAAAATGGATGCTATTTTAATATTTTAAACTGAAATTACTATAAAAGTGTCTAATTTATGAAAAAAGTGTCTAGATCAGTTTTATGTAGTATTTAAAATTTTAAAGATCTTTTGAAAAATAAGTAAACTGAAATATCACTAATTTTAGTGGTAAAATGAAGTTGAACAAGGCTAAGCTAGTCAATTTTTAATCATTTTACATCTAAAACTCGTGATATTCAGTTATTTTTTATCCAATCTTGTTGAACTCGGTGTTGTATGATAGGAAATTTCAAAATCACCAATCTATTATTTTCTCCCAACCAAAACCTGTAAAAATGTTGCATTTGAATGATGTGTTCCGTCGTGATGATCTCGAGATCTGGAACAAATCTCCTGGTCTACCTTGGAAGGACATGGGTTACCGTACAAAGGGTGACATCAAGAATGATCCAAGTGCTATTGGAAGAGTCCGACTCTTCTGGCTTCTGGTGAAAAGTGGACATGATATTCCTTTCACAGATAGTTGTGCTTATGTTCGCAGCCATATCTGCGATCCTGATGAGTTTAAGGTCCGAGCAGTATGGGGGTACCCTGCCACCGTTACTTTCGGTGATCAGTTTTTGCATTACCACTGATTGAGGCGTATAATCTTAGAGGACCAATCACCTATGGTTACGAACCCGCTAGTGGAGGGTTTATGAGATTGCGGAAAAGATTCTCCGGTATTGATTTTAAGTATGGCTTTGATTTTTCAAAATTTGACAAGTCTGTACCTGGATGGTTGATTCATCGAGCGTTCGACATCCTTGCTCTGAACATTGAGTTCACATCCTATCAAGATTATGGAACTGCTCAAGCCCGTGCAATGATTCATATGTATGATAGAATTCGAGATTATTGTGTAAATACTAACATAAGATTAGCCACCGGATTAAGGTTCCGAAAAACGTCGGGCTTAGCGTCTGGAAGTTACTTTACCCAAATGATTGGCTCAATCTGTAACGCGATCATTTTGGAGTACTGTCATCTAAGCTTAACCAATGACTACATCCCTGACGCTGTTTATATGGGAGATGACTCTCTCATTAGAAGTCCATATGATCTTGATGTTTTTGAAGTTGGTAAACTTATCAACAAAGTGTTTGGAATGAATCTGAATTTTAGAAAATCTAGCAAGAGCCGAGATGTTAATGAAATAAAGTTCCTCGGTTTCCAGATCAATCATGGCATACCATTTAAGGAGAGGTCTGACTGGCTTGCTTCCTTCCTGTATCCAGAACGTCCTGACTCATGTATTGAGGATGTGCAAAATCGAGCTCTTGGAATATATTATTCAAACATGTGTTGCGATGAGTACATATCCCGAGTCACAAGAGCGCTCGTTGAGTTGCGCCCGTTTGCTATTGATTTACCACGGAATCTGGATCGTGCCCTCAAGATCACGGGCCATAAGGAGATCAAATCTAACAACAGCGGATACGAGGGGGTAAAACGGTGGGCAAAAGGTAATCCCCTGGACAAAGATTTTGTCCTATTTCCCTTGTTCATGCCGCCCCAACCACCGGCTACTATAGGACATTTGGCCCTGATTGTCGCCAGACCAAAGAAATGCGACATCACGTCGTTTGATAGCCTGGGCATGGAGCACACCGCACGAATGGAACAAGTAAAAGATAACTTTCATAAGAAAAGCGCAAGCCGCAGAAAGAAATTAGGCAAAGAGTTTTCCACATTGAACATGCTCAAAGTCTGCCCACAACAGAGCAATGATAGTGACTGCGGGGTATACATTTGCATGTTTGCCGATGTACTAACCCATGAGAGACCACTAACTACCTTACGAGGAATGACATCGGATGAAATGAGAAAACACATCGAAAGAAGACTGAAGTGGTCGTCTCAACCTTTGGACCCGAAGAATAAAAACTCCGATAAGAAACCTTCTGTCTTAGCCAGTAAAATTGCGAGCCGGAAACTGACAGGGAAACCACAGCCAAAGAAAGCTCCGAACCAAGTAAGTGTTAACAAAACTACAAATTCTAGAATGATTTCTCCAGGAAAAGAGATAAAAAGCAACCGGGAGGGGTACTACCTAACCCATCAAGAGAAGACAAAGTTTATACAACCCCAGGACTTTTTGGAGATCGTTTTGAGCCCTCAAGAAAGGGAATCTGCTGAGGCCCCTGACCCGTTATTAGGAGAGTTAAGAGAGTTTATAGACTCCGGGAAAACGGTAGTCAGTCCATTCCCACATTCCCCTAAGCAAAATTCCGTCCTTGATAGTCTGGCTAAAATGAAGCTTAGCCCTTTGAAGAAGGAAGATACAGAAATGCCTCAGTCACTTGGAAGCACGTCGGATACGAACGAACAACCGATGGAAGCCACCACCAAACACTCTGCGACTACACAAATGGAACACCCCCAACTCAAGCTGCAACGACCGGCACACAAAAGAAGAGGAGCAAATACGAAGAGAAAAAGAGTTTTTCTTCCGGACGGAACCTATGTGAGACTAAACAAAAGGAAAATTGAAAATTTCGACTCCTACCATCCTGGCCTGGACATTGCCACTTTGGCGGAAAAATGAATAAAAGTTATTATGGTAGATTTAAGTTGTTTTTTTATATTTTTCTGTGATAGTTTCGTGATATTTTATTTTATTTTTCTCATTAAAAAGTTTGAATACTCATGTGTTGATTTAAACAATGTTTTGTTACCAATGTTAACAAGAGGTTAAACAGTATTATTGTTTTGTTGGAAAAGATTTTTTATGTTGTTTTTATATTGTTAAATTAAGTAAAATTTGTGTTCGTTGAAAAAACCCCGTTTTTTTCTTTTTCTCTTTTCTTTTTTTTCTCCCGAAGAAAGAGGGGGGCTGTAACGTGCCCGAATTACACCTGTCTGTTTTCCCCAATTGTTTTATTAAATTTGTCCCTCAGTCCCCTCGACTCCCCTTACCTTGCGCCACCTTCCGCTATCCTACGTCGCCCTATAGAACCTTCCCCGACCATCCCCTTCCATTACGTCGCCTTCCGCTACCCTACGTCGCCCTATAGAACCTTCCCCGACCATCCCCTTCCATTACGTCGCCTTCCGCTACCCTACGTCGATATTCCAAGCCCTTATAAGACCATCCCTTTACCTTACGTCGCCTTCCGCTATCCTACGTCACCCTATAGAGCCTTCCCCGACCTTCCCTTTCCCTAACGTCACCTTCCGCTACCCTACGTCGTCTTCCAGACCCTTACCCGACCTTGCTTTGCCTTCCGCTATCCCCCGTCGTCTTCCAGACCCTTACCCGACCTTCCCCTTACCTTGCGTCGCCTTCCGCTATCCCGTATGATAGGAAATTTGAAATGCTAAATAAAAGTGTTCTAGACATTGTTTCATAAAGTTAGCCAATTTTATCAATTTCAACTTTTATAAATGGCCGCCATTTTGAAATTTGTAATTCAATTAAGATAATTTTTTTCTAACGTGGGTCTGTTTTACTCCAACATACAAACCAAGTTTCATAATGATCGTTTCAAGATTTTCAAAGATACAAATTTTTATGAGAATAAACAAAATTACGGACAACTGGTTAACAAAGCCATTTTGGAGA